ATATGCATTATGTAAAGGTACAATTCCCAATGAGAAATGTAAATGTGTTGTATACCTACAATGTACCAATAAAAGAATTTAATATAAAAAAAAAAGAAAAAATGACTCACAAACATTAACCAAAACAAACAAAATGCAATAAGATTAACAGCAGACTTCTCATTCATAGCAGTGGGACATCATATTCAAAGTACTGGGAAAAAAGAATGTTAATCAGAATTCTATAAGAATTTTGGAAAACTATCATTCAAAAACAGAGGAGAAATTAAGACATTCTAAGATAAAAACAGAAGTAATTTGTTGCTAGTCCATCGGCCTTCAAGAAATATTAAAATGTTCTTCAGGGGGCCGGGGATGTAGCTCGGTGGCACTGTGCCTGCCTGGCAAGTGCAAGGTCCTGAGTTTGATCCCCGGTACCAGAAAAAAAATTCTTCAGGAAGACAGAAATAGCACATGACTGCAATTGAAATCTGTATAAAAAAACAAAAGAGCACCAGTAAAGAAAACTATACAGGTACTTATAAAATACAGTATAATTATATGCTTTTAATCCTTTTAGATTTAAAAAAGAAATGATGAAATTTCATTACAAAATAGTTGGAGTAATATATAGGAAAGAAGAAAGACACATGAGGCAAAGAAAGAAATGATACCAGCTGGTAACTCATCCACAGGAATGAAATGATACCAGCTGGTAACTCATCCACAGGAAGAAATGTAGAGTACCAGAAATGGTAAATAAGTAGTTTAATATAAAACAACTCCATTAACATATTTTTCCTTTTAGCTTAAGAGACAACAATTATATAAAACAATATACCTATAACAGCATTATAGGAGATAACGTAGATATGATATTATGACAACAATAACATGAGCAGGGGAGAAAACAGAGGTACGCTGGAGCCAAGTTTCTGTATTTTACTGGAATAAACATTCATCCAAAGTGGATTCTAGTGTTGTAACCCCTAGAGGAACCATAAAAAAATACCTTGGAAATGGCTAAAAAATATATAATCATTTGTGCATAAGACAATTCCCAAATAAGCTCATTTTCACAGCATGATGTGATTCTCAACCTCCTAATCCTCCCTGAAAAGTAAGCATTACGTAAAAGGGAAGAGAAGGATGGAATGGCCACCCCAGGAAACCACGTGTGGAAGTGCTCTCCACAGAAGGCTTTGTCCTACCTCAACAAACACCCACCGCTGCACTCACCCATCTTCTTGATGTACCAGTTCTTTCCACCGTAAGACCTGTTCCAGTACAGGGCCCCCACGGAGCTCACCAGGGCCATGACCAGGAGGATGCCAAACAACACCAGGATCTGTACGTTGGTTACTTTCTCAACATTCGATCTCTTGAGAGGTGCTTTGGTCGAATTCTGTAAAACAGCATTTAAAATCAATAAAGGTCATATATCAGATTTGGGGGCCAAGGACAGGGAGAAAAGGAGGTATGACAACCAAATTCACCAAGAAAAAACTAAAAAGATATTTCTTTTACAAATAACCCATGAAATTTAAAAATGTATCAGATAATTGAAACAACAGCTAGTTTTCAGTAAAGAAGACCGTCTACCAGTTTAGAAAACACATTTCAACTTTGCTTGATTCTTATACACTTCTCATGCTTACATTTTAGCATTAATTTAGCCACTTCATCTTAGAACACAACAGGCTGTAAATAATATATGTCAACTTAAAAGAAGTAAGTATACTGCGGATTCATGATAAACTTGGAGGCTCTAAATTGTAAACATCCAGAGAGAAACTTCGAAGTAATAACACAACTCTATAATAAATATGCAAATAGATTTTTTAAAGTATACACTTTACCCCCAGTAGCTGAAAATTTGAGGAAAATAGACACACATACACATGAATGATGCAAAATAGAACATTAACAGGTATCAAAATAAATGAACATGCACTTGGAAAACTGTGGACAAGAAATGAGCAGGTAAAGTCAGGCAAGGACTTGTGGACAAGAGAAACCTGAGTCATGGGCAGAATATAAACACAAAATAAAACAGAAGAAGAAAGTCTCACTACAGGAGGATAAACTAGACCAGCCACAACCAAAGTCAATGTTGGAGGGGAGTACAGAAAAATTCACAACAGCTGGACTCAAGGACCAATTCATTCAAGCTGGAAATCTGAAACTAGGTCTTCTCTGCAGTGAAAAAGCCAGCAGAATAGTTTGAGCAAGATAGTTATGTACCTAGCCAGGCATGGTGGTCTATATAAATCCCAGGACTCTGGGAAACTGAGGCAGGAAGATTACAAGTTCGAGCCCAGTGTGGGCAACTTAGCAAAATGCTATCTCAAAATAAAAATTAAAAAAGGGGGGCTAAATATGTAGCTTGGTGTGAAGGCCCAGGTTCAATACCCAGTACCACAGACACCCACACCCATGCACACCCACCCACACACACACAAGTATGGACCTGAAGTCATTTTATAAAAAATTCGTGAAGGTAGCTGTGATAGGCAAAATAATGGACCCTCAATGTTACCCACATACAAATCTCTGGTCCCTATGATTATGTTATATAGCAGAAGCAACTTTGTCCTTGTGATTGAGGATTTGATTATCCTGAATTATCTAAATGGGCCCAATCTAGTCACAAGGGATTTCCAAATTCAGAAGCTTTCCTGATTGTGGTCAGAGGAAGAGGTGACTACAGAGAAATGGACAGAGAGATGCACTATTGCTGGCTTTGGAGATGGAGACAGGGAACCACAAGCCAAGGAGTGCAGGCTCCCCCAGAGGCCAGAAAAGGTAACACACAGAAACCCCTCTAGGGCCCACGGAAAAGAACAGTCCATACCTTGAGTTTTAGTCCAGTAAGACCTATATCCAACTTCCAATCTACAGAACCACAACATAATAACTTTATGCACTTTTAAGCTACTAATTTTGTGGAAATTTGCTAAACAGCAATAGGAAGCAAATATAGTAATACAGCAGATGGTCGAAGAAGACCAGGAGAAGGAAGCCAGGTGAAAATTAATTATGACAACCCATTCCTGAAGGTGAGGCAATTCCCGAATTAAATCAGAAGCCAGGTACTGGATAAACAGAGCTTCAGTCTGCGAGTCTCTTTTCATAAACCTTGGGCCCTGGCTTTTCAGAGGCCATACTGATTTACAAACTCAGGCCACATGAAAGCTTGTGAGGCACTAACTGTCCACAGAAATGCTACCTTGCATCAAACATAAGTCAACATTCGAATTTATCTGTTTATTAAAGAGCTAGGATTGAAATATCTCCAAAACTAAGAATACAAATAAAGTCACAACAAGACATATAATTGAGCTAAAATGAGAGACAACTTATTCCTAAGCTTCAGAGAGAATCTCATGTCACAATGTCACTAAAATGCATATAAATTCTATCACCAAACCTAGAAGTCCTGTACCATTATCACCATGTCTGTTCTTTTTAAGAGTTGGAGAAGATGGTGAATTGTTATAGTGGAAATTTTGGGAAGCTAAGTCCTTTAGGTATCTAAGTAACACACCAGAATTTTCTTCTATATATTTTTTCCTCTTTTGAGTTCTCAAATCATTTATACTTTATAGGCTTTTTTTTAAAAAACCCTCCCAAATGTAAATGGAAGTCTATTAGTAAAGGCCATCTTATCAATCAAATACCACATAAAGGTTGACTGGGACAACACATCCACATCTGGTCTCATAGCAAGAGCCAGAAGACCTATTCCAAGACTGTTTACCCTAACTTTTAAAAAGCAAAGCTGATCTTATCATTTTAAAAAAAACATTCATTGAATGCACAAGCAGGAAAAAAGTTACAATAAGCCCTACTTCCATGACCCCACTAGTGATTGACTTCTGATCATTCTCAGTGGTTGAACTCCAGCCAATCAGCAGGGTTAGAAAAATTTATTTTTTGTCCAAGACAACAGAAATGACCCCAAAACTTCAGGCTTCAGCACATGCACTTTGTGGAAACCCAAGCTCTGCCCACTCACTCTCGTCCCCTGAAGATTTCTACTTGTAGTGATGAGCTTTTATTGGTAAGTTCCTATTGAAATTTTAAGTTCTTCTATAACATTCATAGAGCATCACTTCTTTGATATAAACAGAAACAGACCAAAATGTCAATTTTTGAAAAAGCTGACCTCAGACCTGAATTTTACACATTTTATCCTCTCCTAAGAGAGTAGGGACCAGAATGTTAATTGGAACAATCATTCTGGAGCCCCATCTCTAAGGTTGGAATACTTTGGCAATATGCCTCAGCTCTTTTATCTATAAAATGAGAACAGTAATTGAGGAATAAATGAGCTAATATATGTGAACCACTTAGAGCAATGCATGATTTGTTTTAATTAATGCTTGCTGTATTTAAAATGAAATCTCTCTTTCCTATTAAATCAACCAACAGAAATAATAGATTTGAAGCTTTCTACACATAACTACACTAAGCATGAACTGAGGGACCTAGAGTTTGGTAAAAGACATAGCAGAGTGCTTCCTAAACTCACATCTCTTGGTATCTGGGAGTAGCTTTACTGCATATATAGCCAAGACACTGTAGTACTGCCTAGCCTTTATTCCCTTGCGCTGTGTTTTAAAAGTCATTCATAAAATTCTGCCTTTTGGCCACACTCGTTTTGCCCTCCCCTCATCAGGGGGCACTGGCCTTTTAGTCACTCCCTCTCCCTTCCTGGGGACTTGAGCAACCACCTCACAGAAGTACTCTCTGTCCCAGCCTGTGCCCATAATACCTTCAAAATCACAGCATCAGCCCGTCACTAGCTGCCTTAGCCTCTCATCTTCTTGCTGCTCAGCACTGAATGGGCTTCTGCAACTCTGCCCTCAGCTCCCTGCTCCTATGGCTCAGCCCTAGGTCTCAGCACGCTACAAACCCTCAACTTCAGAAACTCCAAGATTGGGCTCCTACACTTACCAGCCTGTCGCTCGATGGCACCAACAAGCCTCTTCACCTTCTGTGCATCTCTCAACTCTTCCGATCCTGACTTTCTTCCCTGTCTTTACTACTTCACATAGTGGATGTGGCCCTCAGGTCCATCATTTCATGTGTTCTAATGTTTAATTCTCTCATCTTACTATCATCTGGGCTCAAGTAGGCAGTCAACAGAAGTTTCCCTCCTCCAACTTAGGATTTAAAATGTGCATCTGCCAAGAGATTGTTCATAGTGTCCCATCTACTGGCACTCTTGCACTGTGTGACCCTTTAGGACTTAGTAATGACACATTTTACAACAATTATAGCTCTGCTTTGTAATCCCATATTACTCCTTGGTCTACCCGGCATTCAAAGGGTAGGACTGGGCCTTTCATAGCTGTATCCATAGGGCATATCCCAGGAAGTAATGCATGGTGATCCTTAACTATTTCTTAATTAAGAAATAGAGCTAAATGTGTACTTCAGAAATCATATAAGAAGTCAGTTCTCATTAATAGCTACCACTACAAAATAAGAAGCCAAGTGATACCAAAAAAAATGTAAGTAATTACACAAAGGGATACTGATTTTACGTAAAATTTCAAAAACTGTCTGTCTAAATATGTTACAATATAAATGTGGAATATAAATTCACAAACACAAAAAAACTAACAGAAAAGAGAGAAAAATCATTGTAAATTAACACTCTTTTCTTTAGTATATGAAGAATAAACATTAGTTCAAAAATAACTCATTGTAAATGGCCTAGAATTTGGTTAACAGTTTACTATAAAATCATAACTAATGGGGGGAAGAGAAGTTGATAGGGAAATTAAACTAAAACTAATCCTCCTTTAAGTTCTGAAGACACAATAAGTTAGAATCAATTGTCCCTCTTAAATCTAGAAGACAAAGTCCATTTATATTCCAGGTAAGAGGTAACAAATGACTGACATAACAAAAATCCAGAAGAAACTACCCAAGGAACTAAAAAAGGACATTTTCTTTCCAAATTTAGTTCATAGAAAATCTTGAGCTTCCTAAGTACAGTATCTTAATTTTCCACCCTCTACTCAATAAAAACAGAAAGGGGAAAATAACAACAACAAAAAGAGCTAAAGTCAGTATTGTTTTTCAGCATAGAAACATTTTACCTGCATGAGTTTGGTGTCGTGTCCAGTATAAACAACTATGCCAAAGACCCACTGAGTATTTCTAAGCTGTGTACCTCTTAATAAGATCTGGTCAGGCCCAAGGGGAACAGGGCTAAAAATAAGAAACAATATTTATATTTAATGACAGTCTGACAAATAAGCATGAGCTCTCCCCTTACACACAAACCCACAATAAATCAAATAATTCCTTCAGTCAAACTTAAGCAATAAAGGTTAAACTTGGCTTAGCCTATCAAGAAACAACCCACAAACATGTCTATTTAACTACTCATTGCCTTAGCAAAAGAAGTTTTTTCTATAAAATGTTAAAGGGAACTGTATCTCTTATAATCCTATTATAAAAGTCAATATCTACATAGGAAATTGCTAAAATAACAATCAGAAGATTATTCATTTAGGAAGCCAAATATATTGTATGGGCTCTGATAAGAAAAAAAAGGAAATAGAAGTATAAACCTATCATATCAAATTTGCCAAAGATGAGTTAATTTAGATAATTGAGAAATTTAAAATGGGGAACATATAGAATGGCTATGCAGACTGCGTGACCACCAAGAAGCAGTGGCACTTGGTTCTCACATTCGTTTCGGGTGGATTCTTATGATGAGGTCCTCCCAAGCCATGGGTCTATTCAAAACATAAAGGACCCAAGACAGGTTGTGGGAGGCACGAATAAGAGGCATGCGGATAAAAGGTGGGCAGCAGATAGAAACTGCACTCCAACATCATGACGAAAGATTACTCAGACAATAAAACAAACACCAAGAGCCAAAGACAACAGAATACAGACAATACCACACTGAACATTCTATAGAGTTATGTTCACTTTGTTCTGCTTTGCCAAAACAAGCAGGGCTGGTGGTGTGGCTCCATGGCAGAGCACTTGCTTAGCAAGTGGCCCTGGGTCCTATTCCCAGCACCAAAAAAATAAATAAAGTGAAAACAAAAGCTACTCAGAAGAAATCTTCAAAAAGGGGACACATGTCTTTTACATGAGGTTCTGTCCTCCTCAGACACACCTCTCTTTTATTTTTCTCCACCATTTGATGCAGCCAAAGCCATTTATCCTGCTTAAGAAGGACAGGCCACCTGCTGTGAACCTCCTCTGAGGCTTTTCTTGGTAAAAGCCATTTCTTTCATTAAACTGAAGGGAAGTTTTAAAAGGACTGAAATTGTGTTTCAAGAAAAACTCAGTAGCCCAGAGCTAAGTAAACATGAAGAAAACACACTATTTTTTTTGTTTGCTTTTTTTACTATTTCCAAATATTAGGAAAATAGAAGGCAAACCTATTTTCCAAAGCTCCAGTAATTTTTATTTGCACTAAAAAAGTAGGAAAGGAAATGAAGAGAAGGAAGAATGATACCTTTTCCCATCCAAGTTCAAGGTCCCAGTGAAGTCATAGAGGTGACGGCTGGGCCCTTCACATGCTATTGTTCCAGACAACTTCATCAACACCTCCCTCGTCTGCATGTCAGCAGTGTGGCTCAAGCCCTAAAATGTCAAAACCGCAAGAGAAACTCAACGCACTCTTCTGTGTCTAAGGGACATCATTCAGCATTCCGTCCTAGGGACATCAGGAGCCATCTACAATAACTGGGTAAATTAACTGCCAGGCCCCCACCACCCCGCAAGATAGCCTTTACCACACCTTTTACTCCAGCAATCTGATGAGAAAATGGCAAAAGATTTCAGTAGAGTAGAAAGTGAAGATTCCTCTACTCTACTGGAAACATTAAGTTTCAGTAATAGTTAACACGCCCAAATCCCTTGCAGAAAGCACACACTGTTAGCTCTCCTCTAACATGGTCCTCTAAAAAAATATAGTAACTCCTCATTATTTCACACCATCTAGCACTTGTAAACTTTTTTAAAAAATTTTAAATGTTTTATTCTGAACTTTTTCAAACACCCATAAAAACAGAATAACAAAACTAACCTCATTGACCCTTATTTAAATAGAAGAAAAAAGCCTAAATCAAATATCTCTAGAAGAAAAGGAAGACATGTGGACGGAATTATTGGATTAACTTTAAGCCACAAAAATTATGTGTCAAAATGGTTAACATTTTTATATTTTAAAAACTATACTTCATGCTAGAATAAAATATATAGTAAGAAGAGTTTTATTTAAGGTATGGAAATTTTCTGTCTAATATACTGGTACCACTCTCTAGAATAGAATCTCAATTCCAACAGTGATATACATCAAGAGGCCTGGGGTGCATATCTTCCATTTGACCTCTGGAGCTGGTGTGCTGTCCAGTGCCCAGCCCAGCATAGCTCCCTCTCTTCAGCTTCACAGACACACAGGCAGTAAGACACAAATGAAGGCATGACACCCGTGGGACCTACAGTTCAGTAAAGCCCACTTTTTCTAGATGTCTTGTCCCTCGGGACCAGTTCGCCTCATAATCAGAGGCACATTGTTCCACAGATTCCAGTAGGGTGAAGGCCTAAACCTTCATGAATGAACAATGTTTTCTCTACAAAAGATACTGACTGGTACACAAGGGGACCATAATTGCAACTTAGGCATCTATAACACCACGAGTCATAATAGAGGTGACTTTACCTGCCGTATCTTAAGGTTCGTTTCCCCATCTAGATTAGCTGTTTCAACGTAACACATTGCCTGAGGTTCACTAAGGAGAGAGAAAAAGGGATGGGAGTTTAGCAGTCAGTAAAGTCCTCCTTTACAAATTCACAGCTCATGAACTCTCCACTAGGGAAATATCCCTGCTGATGGGCCCTTCAACAGACAACTGGTAACAAAAAGCCTAGTGACTGATTAGGAGGAAGAGGCACACTTATCTTCAGGGCACAACAGTGATACAAAGCTGCTTGCACTAATTATCCACCTATGAGCCCCCAAATAATGACCACTTGGCCTCAAGCAGACGCAAATGACTGGGGAAGAACCAAAAAGGGTGAGCAAGTTGTCTGAAACACCTGATGTTCCAGGTAAGACCCAACTGCTGGGTTGAGGTGACCCTCAAAAGGCTGAGGCTGGGTCCACACCTGACCACAAAAGCTGCCAAACCAAACTTCGAACAAGCATCTTTCCTTTCCTTTTCTTTTGTGGTACAGGGGTTTGAACCCAGGGCCTCACTCTACCACTGAAGTACATCCCCAACCCTTTTTATTTTTTATTTAGAGGCAGGGTTTCTCATTAACTTGCCCAGCCTGGCCTCGAACTTGTGATCTGCCTGCCTCAACCTGCTGAGTGGCTGGGGATTAAAAGTGTGTGCTACCACACTCAGCCAAACACACCTTTAGAAGAAAATTACAACCACAGGAACTGAAGGATTGAGGGATAAGCTTGGCAAGCCTTTGCTTCCCTGCATTTATTACTATGCCAAAAGGAAACTTTAATCAAAACACCTACTTTTAAGGACAGAATACTCAAAAAGAATAAAAATAATCATATCAGGTACTAGACTCACACTTCAGTCTTCCAGTTTAGGAGAGTCAGCATAGTTGATGGTTAAGAGATTGAGCTCTGCCACTCACTGTCTAATTTAAAATGCCCTCTCACTGCCTTTTAGGGCTATCTGGCCCTGGCAAGCTGTTGAACTTCTATATCTCAGTTTTCTCACGCACTGATGAAGAGTATCAAAGCTGGTTGAAGAGACTAAATGGGATAATGTATTTAGCACAAAGTACACACTCAGATGCAAGGAGCATCCTGAAAACATGACCTCACTTCAAGCAAACCCTCCCACAACAAAGCCACATTTTCTGAGGGTCACAGACAAGACTTATCACTCAAACTATCAAGTGATTCATATTTCTGTAAGTTTCTTTGCTACCAACCAATATGGGCATACTTAAATCTCGATCCATGTTTACAGAGCTTTTCCCTTCCATCAACCTTAGGTTCTATTTTAAAATTTTTTATCTATAGCAGAAAACTAATGTTAAGGATTTAAACCTAATGATCAATGATCAAATCCAATAGAAGAAACATTGCCTGCAATCACAGAAAATGCAAAGTGTACAAGCATCTGTGGTTCTCAGTGACATATAAATATAGGAAGTTGTAGTCTTAACACGTTATAATCTAATCTTGGACTAAAGAACTGGAGTTACTCTCACCCTGATTTTGGTTTTCCTTCTTTGCTATATACCTTTTAAGCATCAACCCAAGAAGGGCAAAAGCTCTGTTGGCTCATCATGTACACCATTAAGTAATGAAAACCTCCTTGCACAAAATTAGAGAACATGACAATGGTAACTGGGCAGAAAAGGGGGGAAATGTGGAAGAATGGAGAAGAAACACTGTATTCTGGTCATGTCTACACTGAGAAAATGTGTGTGGTTCCATGAATACTGGGAGCACTGGCTTGCAGGACAGACTACTGACTGGACTCACCAGAGCCAGGCGTTGAAGCCTCAGATATGTTGCAACCTGGATGTGATTCAGTGCACCACTCCACTGCCCTTAAAGCGGTGACTCAATCTATGAGGAATGCCCCAGAATGGTCATAAACTAAAGAAGGCAGTATTTGTAGAGTTCAGAAAAAGTTTAAAACAACAAATTGGAGAAAGAAAGTGAAGGGTCAAAGCAGGAGAAGGGAAGTGACAAAAGTAGAGATGATCATCCCTTATCCAAAGTGCTTGAGATTTTCAGTTTTGGATGGTTTTGGATTTTGAAATATTTGTAGGCAGTATTAGATGAAAACTCCTAATCTAAAATTTTGAAATACAAAGTGCTCCAAAATTACAGTTAGTTAAGGACACCCAGCTCGTAGTAGGAAAATGGGATGGTCAGAGAAGGATGGTGACTCAGGGTAGAACAGAAAGGTGGCTCAAGATTTCTGCATTTGTCATTTAACATTTTATTGTTTTTAACATTCAATTCAAAAAAATGTGCCCACTAGCACACCTGACCTGGAGGAGAACAGGACCATGTCTGCTGGAAGATACTGTCCATTGAGAACTTTCACGATGTCTCCTACTGCCACCTGGAGAGCAGGAACCAGGATAGAAAGGTATGAAAGAAAAAGAATAAGCACGATGGGATAAGCGTGGTTAAATATGGGAAGAAGAAAACTCATATAACTAAGCCATGCCTTAAAAGAACAAAACTGAAATGTTTCCAATTCATGCAACTTGTAATACAGATAAGGCCTCCACATCTGCGATTCAACCAAGGATTGAAAATATTTTTGAAAAATTGTGCCTGTACTGAACATGTGCAGATGTTATTCTCATCATTATTCCCCAAACAATACAGTAGAACACTATTTGCATAGCATTTACAGTCGTGGCATTAGGAAAGTCTTACAGAAAGGGTTCAAAGTCCGTGGAAGTATGTACAGACATCCTACGTAAATGCTACACTGTTTTATACAGAGATTTGAACCCCCATGTATTTTGGTATCTGTGAGGCATCCTGAAACAATCCCTGAGGAAGCTGAGGGGCAATTCTGTTGCTTTTTCAGTGACATTTCATGAAAAAGAAATGAGAAAGAGAGAGAGAGGAGAGCAAGAGAGAGCGAGAGAGAGAAGATAAGTCCAAACCACTACATGTACATAGATTCCATTTTCTTAGAATTATCTGTCTATCTACAAATGTGCAAATGTCCCCACAGATGCATGTGGCGGGGTTGAGCAGTCATCCACGCATCTCTGAGGCCAGCCTAAGTTCCTGGGTTTGAGTCCCCATTACACCCCTAACTAGCTATATAGCCACAAGAAACTTACGGAAACTGTGTACGCCTTATCTTTGTCATCTATATATTGAGAATAATGCCGCGTGTTTCATGGGATCACTGAAAAAATTGACTGACAAGAAGGCCTCTCGAAGAGTCAAAGGCATTGCAGCATTTACCCATGAGTAAGGCATCTGAGAGGCCTCTTGGACATGTGTCACATGAAAGGGGAGATTTGTGCAGCCTCAAGGAATTGCCAGAAAAGCAAGCTATGGCCAAAGTCAGAGATCACCTTGGGAAACTGATCCTGCGGGAGAGAAGACCACAAGCCAAGGGAATAGGGCCTAATTTCCAAAGAGCCCCATGGCTATGTCTCTGAGTCCTTTCAACACTGTTGCTTTAGAGGAAAATAGAGGCTTCACTCCAGCAAGCTCGGGTTCACATCCCAGCTTCACAGACACCACATGGCTTTGTGATCTCCACTGCGGCTTTGCTTTGCAGAGCCCCACTGCTCTCATCATTTTGTTTAGCACTGAGGATCAAACACAGGGACACTACCACCAAGCCCTCTTCCTAGCCCTTTTTATTTTATTTTGAAATAGGATCTTGCTAAATTTCCCAGGCTCATCTCAGACTTGTGATCCTCCTGCCTCAGCTTCCTAAGTAGCTAGGAAATAGGCACGTACTACCATGCTGACCCTGACCCCTTACTTCTAAAATGGGAAAACAATACTATTGGCTCACAAGGTCCTTACTGTGACTAAGGGTGCATATGCAGCACCTGGCATCTACACACCACGTGTGTCTTAGTCAATTTCTTTGTCACTGGAACACCATACCTGACACCCACAACTTAAAGAAAGGGAGGTTTATTTTGGCCATGGTTGCAGTCTGCGGTCAGTTGGCTCTAGAGCAGAAAAGTGTTCCAGTGAGGTAGAGTGGAGGAAAAACTGCTCGCTTCATGGCAGCCAGGAGGCAGGGAGAGTGAAAAGAAGGGGCTGAAAAGGAGATAAACCCTTCCAGGCCACACCCACGGACCCACCTCTTCTGCTCAGAGCCCGCCTGCTAACAGCATGTCAGTTATGAGCCCCCACAATCCAATCACCCTCCAAAGCCCTGCCTATGAGTGCATGAGGCTCTGCAGGAACATCTAGATAGAAACCATAACGAGGTGTGAGCTATAGGCCTCCTCAGCATGAGCAACTGAATGGACGCTATCAGCATGGACATGAAGGACATCAGCATTCTTTGATACATATGAAGAAAGACCACTCTTAACAATAACTGCAAAGTACAAAATGAGCACTTAATGTTTTGTGCTTCCTATTTTAACCATAATATTCCTATTCTCTTAGAATCCAAGAATTTCAAGTGGTACAATAGTACTGGATTGTATAAGGCAGCAGGTGCCTGGGTTAATTTTCTGTTGGGGCCTGGGGATAGCTCAGTGGTAGACTACTTCCATAACATGGGCAATGCTCTGGGCTCCATCCCCAGCACCACAAAAACAAGCAAGCAGGCAAACACACAAACACTAATTTTCTGTTGGGAAAAGAGACTTTTATGAAAGGTGTCCTACTAGTGCTGTGAATTGCTTATCATAAAGTACATGGGAACGTCTAAATAATTGGACTCAACACAGAGAGAGGTGGTAAAAATTAAATTCCAGAATGAATGTGCACGTGAAGTTAGCACTCAGTTCAAAGGTACAAGTTAGTGTCCAATTTAAGGCAAAAAACATATAATTATAACATATTCCATAATAAAGAGAAGTTAAAGAACAAATGCTACAGAACCATTTTAACAATCACCAGTACAAAAGCAAAGAATACTTACATAAAATGAATGTGTTCCAAGTAAAAATATTTTACATTAATAGTTTTATTACACAGAAATATCAGTAGAAGCAATTAATTTAAAAAGCATTAGAAAAAAATCAGTCTTGTTTTCAAAAAAAAGAAGAGGATTTTTTTTCTCTAATTCAAAGTAGGAGGACAAGGGAAATTATGGCTTTCTCTCATCTCTACTTTCTAAATAAAGAAATACTTATATCCCAGCAACCAAGTACTAAAAGGTTTCCTGTATATGCGAAACTACTTTTGTTTGAAGATGGCTTTCTATCTGCTGTCCTCATATGGGTTCGAATCCCCTCCAGCCTTGGGAAGACCCTCAAATCTCTTAACAGTGAAACAATGGAAAAGAAGTCTCAAGGTCCATCAAAGCTACAGAGCTACCCAGGGCTGCCTTCAGGTTCACCCGCTGGTCCACCCAGGGGCTCGGCCCTCACACCTGTTACCCTGTCCTCTTCTGTGTCTTCCCCTTTCTCCTGAACTCACAGTGACACACTGTGCCTGGCTGTCCAGACACCTGATAGTCCCACACCCTATGTCTTGAACAACACCTCTTGAGTAAGGCTTCTCCTAAGCTAAACCAGTGTATCCAGACAAACTTCCCTCCCAGATGTCCCCAGGGCACCCTGTGCGGCTGAGCAGGGGCCCTGTGCTATAGCCAGCTGCCTGTGTCTTCTGCTACACTGGCTCTTAAGTGTGCTCCCCAGATCACTAGCAGCAGCCTCAGTGCATCAGAAATTCTGGGTTTGGGGCCCATCCGTGTGTGACCGGCCCATGAGTGACTGGGATGCCTGCTGAGGCTTGAGGACTGCTATACACCAAAACTTCGTAAGGGCAAGAACCTGGTCTACCCTGAATCCCAGCCTGCAGTGGTCTTTGGCACACACTAAGAGCTCTGTCAAAATAAGCACACAAAACGCATTTTAAGTTGAAACAAAAATGCATGTGACCAGGCACATACAGATGTACTGCTGCTGCTGATATTTTTCTCCCAAATGTATGCTGGAAACGGTAATGAGCTTTGGGAGTCTTGGAGGCCATCAACTCCTGGACCCAGAACTCATTGACATCACTCCATCTCCTGATGTTTCAAGCAGTGTCAGGCACTCTGGATCTAAATCATTCTGCACACTGGCCAATACTGGTGCCTTTCTGGTGATGGATGGGGAAGAAGAGCCCAGGGGAACTGGAGGGGCAATGCCCCAGGGCCATGAGAACCTTTGACTCCCTACAGCTCTGGCAGCATTTCTCCCCTGGGGAGTCAAGAACACCCAACCTCTTGACCAAGATCCACCACCTTTCACTTCCAAATGAAACACAGACCAAAAACCCCTGCAGTACAGGCCTTCTAGATGGCCAAGTGTTATAACAAAAGTACCGACAAAAGGGAAACTTCTTTAAAGGTACGTGGTTCTCCTAGAATAAAGCAAAATAAACAAAACCTAAAGTAAATTACCAGGTATCTTATCACAGAAATATTTTTCAAATATAAAATGTCCTAGGAGGCATTTAAGAAAGAGTTTGCTAAGTATTTAGCAAGAAAAACTACTTTAATGTGCCCTTCAAAACAGTTGTTTTCTCTTGAAATCATCAGTTTGAATGTGGGACTAATGAGAGACATCCCTAAGAAACATCTCATTAAGAAAGCCCAGCTAGGGCTGGGGATTTAGCTCAGTGGTTCTGCCACCTGCCTTGCAAGTACAAGGTCCCGAGTTCAATCCCTGGTACCAAAAAAAAAAAAAAGGCCCAGCTAAAACAGACCCACTTCAAAGCTAATTTTATCAGATAAAAAAAATACTGAAATGGCACAACGATTTTTTTCTAAATTGTGTGTGCCTCACTAAAACAACCAAAGAAAAACACTATTCTCAAACCTGCACATCTCGTATCTCCAGTCATACAAAAGAAAAACCCTTCTTGCTACTGTAATGTTAACAGCAGTAACTACAAGGGGTAATGGAAAGACAGTCCATGTTTAAATAAAATATTTATTATAGAAAAAAAATATTGTGAAGAAAAATTGAATAAGTGTATTCAAAGTGAAGGGAATTATTTTGAGTATTTTAGGGAAGATTAATTGACAGTGTGTCATTTACTGTACACATTTTAAACTTAAGCCTTCACCACATTTTTGATCGCCCTTCATTTATCAAATATTTATGGCAATTTCTATCAAATATAAACATTATAATGTGTCTTCATCCACCTTATTCATTGAATCTGGCACCACATAACTTCTGGCACTTCCTCAAAGTCGAAATGATCATAAAAGGTAAACATTTTGGATTGATTTAGGACATCAAGGCAGTCATGACAGCACAACTAAAGACGCTCACAAAACAGGACTTCTAGAACTGCTTCAGAAAGTTGCAAGATCAACGAAATAAGTGTGTTTGAAGCAAGGAGGAGTATTTGAGAGGGGATTAATAGCAACAGCGTCTTGTACTATAATGAATTTACTATAATGAATTCATCATGGTTTTGATCATACCTCACACATTGGTCATGTTCAACTTCCCTTGCCTCAAAAGCTGAAGTGACAGCATTTCCTACTCAAACTCTATGCTTAGTGATAGTTTCTCCACCAAAAATATGAGAAGTGAAAAAAATCTCAAAAGTATTAAAAAAAACAAAACAGCATTGAACATCTGACTTTAGATGAAGAGATTAACAGAAGACCAAGGAAAATGTTTCTCAAATTGGATTTAGAAATTAGAAAATGCTTTGAGATTGAGAACTATCCAGCGAGAGCAATAAATGTCAGTCTGAACTGCTACAGTGGGTACACATTCGACAAGCAGCCAAGAGCAGAGGAAACACAGTCAGTTCTAGGCACCTCTCACAGAAAAACAAATATAAAACAGATGACATAGGCCTTAAGGCAAACTATACTGTGATCAATAGCAGCAACTCATTACAATTCTCCAAAACAACACTTTCTGTTATTATCTTTAAAATTAGTTTTTACCTCTTTCCACGCAATGGTGTGCCACATACCATTTCTTAACACTGAAACAGAAAAAAACAATGTACTAGTTAATATTGGTGATAATCAATATTTTAAAAATTAGCTTTCTAAAAACCCAAAAGACTTCTTGTAAACTTTCATTTATTAATTACAACTATCATATCCTTTGACAGAAATGTATAACAGCACCAACCCCCCAAATGGAGCCCTGATCTATATATCTCTGTCACATGTAAACATTCATACATGTACATAACTCTTTATGTATATATGTAATTAAAATCTATTTATATTTAGCTCAGAAGTTTAAAAAAAATTTGATGTCAGATAATCATAACAATAACAACAATATAAACCTGATGTCAGACAATTATAACAATAACAACATAACAATGGTAATATAAAAACCAAAACAACAAGAAATAAGAAAAGGCAAGGTGAGATTATAAACCAAGGATAGGAATGTTTGAATTTTGTATGTACACAAATACTGTCTAGTTCCTGAAAAATACAACCTTCTAAAATCCTAAAATACACAAATCCTGTTCAAATCTTAATTATCAGGGATAACATTTTGTATATTATTTTATGATTTCTTTAAACTATCTTTCAGGTTATTTTTTCAGTTTATCTCAATACTACTATTTACTTTGAGTTCCGTAAATGCAGGTCTTACTCTTAGCTATAGGGGAAAAATGATTGACACTGGTATCTTACCTATTGTTTTCTTTTTGTTAACTGCATTGTCTGCCTTATGTCGTTTCTGTTACGGAAAGAAAAAAAAAATGTTTCTGACTTACATTCAAAAGTTCCAAATGAGTAAGTGAAATAGTAAACAATAAGATCAGAAAAATACTGGGAGCAAAGAAACTAACTGTTCCTCTAAATGACAGGTAGGCCAGGGAAAGGGGACAAAAAAATAAATTAAGATGTGCTATGTACATGTACCAACTCCCCACAATGAAGTAATCATCATGTACTACAAGCATGCACTAATAAAATAAAAATTGAAAAAAATAAAGGAAAGAAGAAAATAAAAATCTAACAACACTAATGCGGTAAAATTCTACTTGATGGTTCTATAATCTATTATTCTTTAAATTTAGATGTAATCTATTCTGATTTAGATTATTATGTTTTGGTTCTAATAATCAGCTTACACTTCCAACTATGAAGCTGCTCACTTCTCATTTATTTGCAAACAAACTAAAAGAATGATTCAATATAATATGCCTCAAAACAAATAGCTGATTTCATTTTCAATTTACAATTAACTTATTTACCTATTCCCAAAAAGATGTAATATGTGTGGGAGAATAAGTGTATGTGAGAGAAAGCAGGGGGAGGGAAGGGGAGGGGAGTGGATACAGTTTTAGCCCATGAATTTGGAGATAGTCCAGGGTGAAGGTGAGGAGAAACATTCTTGTAAAATGATCTCAGGCATAGCAAGCACACTGCTTCATTTGCTACATAAATTAGAGGCTCTGGCATAAGATATAAGAAACAACAATGATAGACATCAGAGGGGGTCTCGAGACTCAAGCAAGGTAGAACAGTCAGAACTGCTTCCGGATCACTGAGTGAGTGTAAGACACTCTGGGTACATGCACATTCCCTCCCAAAAATTACTATCAGTCTAGGAGCTGCTTAAGCTAGAACCTAATTTCCTGTCTTAAATATACCACTGAAAGCAACACATACATTATAAGTTATGTTCCATACAATGTTTTTATTATCCACAAGCAAAAACTTACAAAATCTTCTACAATCTCTTTGATGCCCGCAATTGTTAAAATAATGATCAATGGCACCAGGGTGGTATATCTTCCTGTTGGAGATACATCTGGAATTTGCTGCAAGAGATCACAAGGAGGAAGTTGGCACATTAAAGTCCTTGCCATGAAGAAGAAAACACAGCACATGCTGCTCACTTTTGCACAGCTCTGGTCCATTTTTTCACACAATTATTTTTAAAACTAATTATATATTTGACATACTTTTTTTTTAAAATCACCCAATATTGATCACATGTTAAAATGTGAAAAAAAGGATTAGAAAAAATGTTAAAATATGACCCTCAAGAACCATTTCCATGTCTCTTTGAATAAGTACAATTATCCTTAAGGCAATATAAAAAGTCTCCATGAACACAAAGGTTATGTTTGTTGTGCTATCTATGACTGGATGAAGAGAACAAATTCTATACAAATATTTTAACTTTTTTTCAGCTAAGGAACCTGTCAACAAAATCTCATTTTGAATGTAGCTAAGTGTGAGATTTTTTTTTTTTTTTGGTACTGGGGATCGAACTCGGGACCTTGTGCTTGCGAGGCAGGCAGCAGAACCACTGAGCTAAATCCCTGGCCTAAGGGTGAGATTTTTCAGTAATTTTTAAAAGCATTACCTGTAATAAGGCAATGAAGAGGAAGAAGGCATTAGCAGCTCTTCTAATCTGCTCGTACAAGAATCGAGGTAGAAATGTCAACACGCTGTACTTGGCTGTACTGTAAGTGAAAGAAAAATAGTTATAGATGTGAACCCTAAAAAACAAGAACAAACAAAAGATTTCAAAAAACTTTATGACTAGTTTTTAAAACAGAATGTTTCAAAACTCAGGATAAGGAACTTGCTGTGCCTAGCATCTCCTACAGAGTTATATGTTGCAGTAGGGCTCATCTGAGCAGCAAGTTCAGTTTCTGTGTAACATAGGGAGCGACATTCCCTCATCTGGACCTCTATGCTACAAACAACCCTCATGTGCATCATAATTCAACCAGTGCTATGGATAAGTACCACTGATATTTTGTTTTCTTTTTCACAATGCCGGGGAGAGAACTCAGGTCTTTGTGATACTAGTAAAGTGCCCTACCACTGAGCTGCATCCCCAGCACTTTTTATTTTTTATTTTGAGACAGGATATTACTAAGTTGCCCAGGCTGGCCTCAAACTTCTGATCCTCCTGCTTCTGCCTTTCAAGTGCTAGGATTCAAGTGTGAGCTACTATGTCTCACTACTGCTGAAGTTTTATACTTCAACCACTCCCAGATAATTCCATCCCCTCCACACACCTTTAAGTTGGCCACCTTTGCTCACATTTTGCTTCACCTTAGACATCCAGTCCCTTCCACCCTGCATGTATTCCCACATGTAAACTGTTCTTTCCATCTTACCCTCCCATATCTTGTCTTCCATTAAGTTTGGTCAAATTTACAACGGCTCTTCTTCTTTCAAGCCCACAGTATGGTAAGTAGACCTACATCATACAGTCTCTACTTTGACTTGTATTATATTGCTGGTCCTCCATATCTGCAGATTCTACATCCATAGATTCCAGCAACCATGGATCAAAAATATTCGGGGGAAAAAAAGGAAATTCTATCTGTACTAAATATGTAGACCTGCCAGGGATTTAGCTCAGTGGTCCCGCCACCTGCCTCAAAAGCACAAGGTCCTAAGTTCGATCCCCAGTACCAAAAAATAAAAATAAATAAAAATAAAATAAATATACAGACACTTTCCTTGTCATTATTCCCTAAACAAAACAATAAAACAACCAACAACTATTTGGATACCGCTTACATTTCAATAGGTAATAAGTAATCCAGAGATGATTTAAATAATACAAAAGGATGTATATGGGTTTTGTGCAAATGCTATGCTATTTTATATAAGGGATTTAAGCAACCTTGGATTAAGGAGTCCACAGGAGGTCCTGGAATTGATGCATCCGAGACACTGAGAACTAACTATATCTATTTCTTTATCCACAGAATAGTTATGGAAACAGTGAGAATGTTCACTTCAATTCCCTATGTTCCTAACACAACACACCACCACACTGATTAGTAATCAATGAACAGTAAAATAAACGAAATACACAAACAGAGAACTTTATGAGGCAAATGAACTATACCACCCTAAACTGCTCCCAGATTTGCTGAAGTATAGTACTATCTTGATTCCTAGTTACTCTCAGAAGGTAAGACTCTGAGCATTTTCTTAAGTGAAATATATTCCTGCAGGATTATCTAGTAGGTTCCAAATGCAAAGCAAATTGGAAGCACTGAAATAGAAGAGTAAAAGGCTCAAGAGGCAGCACATGCCAGAAAGCAACCAGTCCTGGAAAGACAAAATAAAACCAGAGCTGACAACTCAAAAAACAGAACATCTCAAGGTCATCTGATGGAGCAAGAAGGAGTCCCATATTGCATTTACTGCTGCTGCCTCAGAGAAAATCATCCCTCCAGTACAACAGTCCAGTATTTCACAGACACATTGGTCAGAGTTGTTCTTTTTCGGGGGGTGGGGGAGGGTTACTGGGGATTGAACTCGGGTCCTTGTGCTTTCGAGGCAGGCAGTGGAACCACTGAGCTAAATCCCCAGCCCTGAGTTGTTCTTAAAGACAAAATTATTAATAGCCTTCTGCCTGGGTGCTGAAGACATATGATAAACTATAAGAAAACCACTTCCAAAACAATTTAAACTTTTTTAAAACCTGATGCTTAAAGAGATATCACTAAATTAGACAGAAAATTTGCTTACAGGAAGCCTTTCTGGGGTGTCAGATGGCGTGTCAGGATATTTCTGTAAGTTTGCCAGACAGAATAAAATATCTGATATTAAGGTCACTAAAGAGTAGGGAAAATATATCAAACTTATGTACACAATAGTTTCTGGTATAAAAGTCTTACTTACCACTTAGAAGACAAATTCAAATGGATCATCACATGTTCCTTTTATGGCAGTACTGACCATTGACAGAAAGCAACCAATAGTTATCAGTAAAGGAAACATGAATATTCACACACTAAGGTAAGAGTGTAGAAAGTTTCTTCCAAAATAGTTTGCTTGTAACATTTAAAAGTTTAATCTTATGCTACAAGATTTCTTACAGAATAAGATGTACCAATCACTGCACCAGGGCAAGAAAATCTATAGTGTGAAATGGGGAAATGAAAGAGCTTCCCAGTAGAATAGTGTGTTTGTCCATGTAAAGAAGTCACACCCAAAAGATTCCTACCCATGCAAGTGTCACTATCCTCACCTCCTGTTTGCAGCAAGGAAGCCATGGATGCATGTGAGTGCCAGGCATTGGCAATACTTAGGGCCTGAGAACTGGAGAGAAATAACTTAACGAAACAGACGTTTCCTGCAGTTCACTCATGCTCACTTTAAACATCTATTAGACTCATGGGTTATGTGAAGAATGACAGGGCTTGTCAAAAACCCATCCATTCATCCATCCATCCATCTGTCCACACTTCCATCTATCCATCCAACCATCCATCTATCCACATTTCCATCCAACCATCCATCTATCCACATTTCCATCCAACCATCCATCTATCCACATTTCCATCCAACC